GCAAAGTGCCATCTTCGGAAAATCGGTGAACATGTTTTCGTCTTTTTCTGTTTTAGACTCGGCCTGCTCGTTCGAGTCAATCTGAAGATCGTATCAGTCGACAAGATACAAAAACTGTCAAACGACGAAAAGCTCGTAGAAGAGCTAAATCTGCGTAAGTGCAGAAAACGGATTGTGTTTGAGTGAATATTTTATTTGAAGAGTGTGTCCTTCTTTGTAGTGCAATCTTTGCACAAGAACCATCATTGCTACATGGTTTTGAAGATGAAGTAATTGTTGAACAAAGATCTAAAGGCGCTAATAATATATTGCCTGATCTGTTAATAAGTTCAAATGTCACAAAAAGTACACCAGCTAATCGAATTTATTTTGAAAATAAAAGTACGTGTGCTCAATGTCATCTGCATAATGCTAAATAATTTTATTTTTCTTGTCCAGAAACATTTTCAAGTGTGAACAAATCAACAATAGACAAAGATGCTTTACGTTTCGCGACCTCAGCTCAACTGCCATACGATGTTTCTTATCAACAACAGTCAGCTGAAATGTTAAAGCGCTACACAGTGCAAGTTGCTAAACAAACACATACATTTTTGCAACGTTTATTTTTATTTATTCATGGGATTAATGCGGGATATGCCTTCTGGATGTGTGTGATTGTTTACGTATTTACAGAGAACGACGTTAATTCGAATTTTTTTTTTGATACGTATAAAGGAATAGCTCTTATCACGCAATTATTATTTTATCTGTTCATTGCTATATGTATTGTCGATATTTTAGACAGGTACGAAAGACCAGCAACAAATATAGAGGGATTCGAAATGCCTGTCTGCTAACAGATTGTAGTTCTAAAGGACTCACCAGCTATGGCAGGAAAGAGACGAGTGAAAACTATAGTCAAAAATGGTGTATCATATCTCATGTGTTCGTGTGCATGATAGTTTTTAAAATTACATAGTCACATAGTTATTATATTTGTTTACTCATTTTAGAATCGATCCTGTTAAATTTAATCGTACCGTATTTTTTCAGTCATTAAGTTTACAAAATAGTGCTGTTGCCATTTTATTTTATTCTGTTGCGATGATTGTCAATTTGTATATGATGCAAACCGACGATTATTTGAGAATGACACAATATTCAAATCAGACTACAATTGAGGTTAGAGTAAGATGATGTTAGCGTCTAATGTTACAAAGTTGTATTTTTCGAAATATTTAGGATACGGTTTTGACTGATGTTTTAATTCCAACATGGAAACGTTTGAATGCTGTGCGAGCTGCATTCATTATGATTGCTTGGCTTGTAGTCACTTTCCATGTTAAAAATGATCGTCTAAGTACATTGATTAAAAATACCGAAGAAAAAGCCTTCTATGAAGAACTTCGAATTGAACAAAATACAGCACCGATGATAACAGGAACGAACGCATGACGATCTTTTTTCATCATCATTTTTCGAGGGAACATATCTTGTTCTTGATGGTTTTCTATATGAACTTTTCATGTTGTATCATTATCGTTTCTGTTCTAATTTTAGAAGTATAGATTTCAGATATGTTTTTGTTGTGGCCGTGGCCACGTTTTTTCGAATTATAGAAACTTGTACTATTCGTTATTTATTAAACACATTTATTAAAAACATGCTATTCATTAGTTCGGGATCTTTGTTGTTTGTATAATACAGTTGCTGCACGCCAGAAGCTATTAGTAATCGTGTTCGACAAGTCGAGGCCTTTTAGGTTAGTTTCGAGAAAAGTTTGAACTTTACTGTTATAATGATTTCGTATTGTATCGATTATGAATTCCATAGCACTTTTAGCACTGAAAGTGCCAGAACAGTAAAAAGGTAAGCATTATAAAAACAGTTCGCAATAATTAGTGACATTATCTAGGTATACATCGACTGTTTGAGCCATTGCTGTAACAGATATCCACTGAACAACCAAGTGAGCATTCCCATTTTGGCACTTTTTGAAGAAATGCGCCATTTTTTTTAGATTTGAAGTATTTTTCATGAAAAAATCAATTTAAATCGATTTTTTTTGAAAAAAATCTATTTAACTTTTTTAAAATTCTTTTAGAAAAACCTGCTTAAATTAATTTGGAAAAAGATCCATTTAAATTCATTCTGCGTAACTTTTTATGTGAAAAATCTATTTAAATTTATTTCTATTTCAATAAATCTGGTTTTAGTTTTTGAAAAAAATTTGAAAAGCTGAAAATCTATTTAAGTGCATTTTATCTTTTATTTGGAGAAAAAATAAATTCAAATTAACCTTTTACAAAAACCAAAATCAGATTCATTGAGAAAGAAATGAATTTAAATAGATTGTTCGCACGAAACATTATGTAGAATGAATTTAAATGAATTTTTTTAAAAATGAATTTAAACAGACTTTCTAAAAGAATTCTAAAAAAATGAATTTAAATAAGTTTCTTTCAACAAAAAAAATCAATTTAAATGAATTTTTTGCATTAAAAAAAATAATAAATCAATTTTTAACGTTTAACATTTTTAATATCAAAAAGATCGATTTAAATTGATTTTTCCATGAAAAAAAAATAAATCGAAAAAAATGGCACATTTCTTTAAAAAGTGCCACAATGGGTTGTCTTCAATCCGTCAAAACCCACCCATATGCACGAACCCTAATGAGTGACTGTGTATCATACTAAAATAAATAAATGCTAAATAGAAACAAATAATGATAAGTAATTCAGCTGCAATCATAGGTGGTTCAGTGTATTATACTACTTTTATATAGATGAGCAGGAGGTATGAAAAGATAAAGGTAGAAGTTAATCGTACGCGGAGTCACAGTCAATGTCAAATTAGAAAAGTAGATCCCATGAAGTTTTTTTTGGTTGATCGGCTAATCGATCCGCCACAGCTCATGGCGACTGCGATCAAAACTGCGATTTCATGATGCACAATGAGCTGTGACGGATCGATTAGCCGATCAACCAAGAAAAAATCTCATGGGGGTAGTCGTCCAATGCAATTAAAATTCTAGTTAGAGCAGTTAACTAAATGAGAAAGAGAATGAAATATAAAATTAGAAATTCAATCAAAATAACGAAACGAGCCGCATTAGCACCTTTCATTTTATTGTTTCATTTCATACTTACAGTATACACATTTTCATCTTTTATTTCAATTACCAACCGCAGCAGTCGTCCATGTCTATCAATGACATTTGTGACTGGATACAAATAAATAGCACCCAAACGCGACATTAACTTTTTATCTAATAAATAACGAACCACAATCGACGAACAAGCACCACTTTCTTCATCAACAACACACGCTAATTGAATACTAATATTTAATTTTCGCTCTAAATTGTCATTACTGATGGTAAGACATCTAACTGATAAATAACTGTCGTACTACTAATTAGTTGTTGCAGCAAATACAATGTGCATGAAACACAAACAATACCACCTTTGTTGTCACATGAACCATGTCCAATAATTTTTTGAATTTTGTATAAGAAAAAAAAAATCGCTCATCATAAACGCGGAAACTGAACGAATAAAACCTTTTTCTTTTGCAGTTTTATCAATAATTCATTTGTAGTTGACAATGAATAGTCCTCCCAATTTTCACAGAGACAAACAGCGGATTTGTTCTCTCAATTGACGATTTTTAGTTGCTTTTCTTTTTAGTTAGATCTGTTACCCTATAATGACAATCTAGGAGTAATGGCGTTGTAGATCATTCACGTTTACTAACCATAATGAGTACTACTGGTGATTGAGAGTTTATGATTGGCGCAAATTTTTTTTTGAAATTTCATTTTTGCCAATCGGTTAGAGCGGGTAACAGTCCGTACAAATGATCAGTGTTAGATATTATTTTTTTTCTAGAAACAAACATTCCTATAGAATATTCTGGAATGTATACATACAATAAAACATATATTTTCACTGATATTCCATCCGATTACCGGTCTATGGTTATTCACACCACAAAATGTGGATGGAATATTTAATTCAGTACAGTATGTAGTCGGCCAAATGAACAAAGAATCTATTATCCATTGATCAAGCTTGTTTACAGTAATTATTGTCACATTGACGCGAAGCAGGTGGAAATAAGCATATAATTGTCAATTGTACACAACAAACAACAAGCATCTCAATACTAACAAGAGAGAGTTGGCATATGGATGGATACTTTTTCTTGCAGCACACAAATACATACATTTTTCTTTCTAGTTTGTATATCTGCCATAGTATGAGAAGCATATACACAGAGATAGCGACTAGTTTGTTTTATTGTGAAACATTGTTTTGGAAAAAATAATACTGTGTCTACTTTCTAATGACATCATTTTTGTGTCGATAGGATAGGTTTTTCATAGCTTTTGAGCGAATTTTCCAGAGGTAGGGGGCATTCTCACTTTTTTCGACGTCTCTATTGAGTTGAGATACTGCTCCATGTCTTTTTTCTTTTCTGTTCTTTATAAAGTTCGTTGCGACATCGATTACAAATGATCATCCCTGTTTTAAGTTCAATTCCACGTTGTTCTATTAAATTATGCATGCAATGCTATTTTTTATTTGATATATTTCTAAAGGTCGTTTTCGATTTTATATTTGAATTAAAGTTTCGCTGACAATAAATACAAGATTATTTTTTGTACCCATTCTTAATAATATAGAGTAGAATACAGTAGAACTATGGTTGATACTGACTGATAGAGAGTACGAGTACAGCCATATCTTCTTTTCTTAACCAAGCTACTCTTTTAAAGGAAACTTCCGAATTATAACAAAAACTGTTTCTTCTTGACATTCGCAGAACGTTTTATTCAGGTTTGGATATTTCTAATACTTCTTCATAGTTAATTAGAATGAATATGATTTTTAAAAGAAGAATAACATTTTATTTTCAAGCAATTGCGTATTCAATTCACACGAATTTTTTAACGAAAGCACGTTTAGTGCTGTCTAGAACTGTAATGCAAACGTTGCTCTACAAAATAAGGCGTCTCGAAGCTCAATATGTTTCTTTGTTTAAGGGGGGAAGGGTGTACTCCACCATGACTTGTATTTTTTCTGACCAGATTGTAGAGAAAGTGAAACTCCATATACCCTGGAAGTTTCTCGGCAAACGAACTTGTTTTGACAGAGTCACGGCTTTTATAAGTTATATGCCTCTATAGTTCAGTTTAATTAGTATATTTAGCTTAGTAAGAATTGAACCGAAACTTGATCTGAGATTCGCATGTGGTTCCGTGATTATCGGAGAACGATTAAAAATTGTTGAATTTCAACGTATTGGTTTGTACCAGATCCGATGGATCATTTGTACGATCAAATTTTATTATACCATTAGTAACAGTTATTCTGCAATTGCATTTGTTTCTATTTGCTTTCTGGTTTTCACGCGAAGAAAGACGATAATAATCACAAAGATAGATCTGGCTTCTACTTATCCACCGATTTCTTAAAATTCATCCATCATCTTAACGAATATTCATCAATTGCTAGTCGATAGTTTTCCCATTTGAGATAATTATGGTAGTAGGGCGAAAATGTCTTTAACCTTCATTCGAAAGCCGATTTTCATTCTACAGCATATGAAAAAGCGAATCATAAATAAAACAATTATGTAATCATGATAACACCCTCAAGACTTTGTCTTACTCTTCGATTCAATAATAATAAGTTTTAGTAGAATTTTGACATTAACCGACAAGTAAACGTCAGCTTTCAACGTAGCAAAACAAATCAGATGAGTTTACATAAATGTACATAAAATCTACTTTATACAAAACAAGATAGAACAAAAAAAATTCATGGAATTCTTTCGAATACAAAAAACAATGACTATTAGTTTTAGAGAGAAAGAAAACAAAAGATCGCTCTCTTACATCATAAAAAAACAAAAAGTTTTATTAAATCACCAAAAGAAAAACGCATAAAAATAATGCCGGTTTGATACAAAAAAAAAAATGTTGAGACAAATGCATGAATAATGAGCTTTGAACAGCGAAAAATATCTTACAATATTTTGATTAATATATACAAGGAACAATGAACATTGAATCTACCAGAACTACAGATTTCTTGACTATACAAAATTTTATCTGACATAAGTTTGAGCTCCATTAGTTATCTAATCATACTAATCTATTTTATAAATTTCAATATCTGAGATTGTCATATGTTTATTGCCCGTAAATGTTTTATCACCATAATGTGTAGTATCCAAATATGTAACAGGAAAGCGTATAAAAGCATTACTGTTATTTTTTACACAAATATCACCGCCAAATCTAAAATTATTATAGGATTATTAATTGAATAAAAGTTAAATAATCAACTTACGATGGACCAACTGTTGCATCATGATAAACAGCAAACTGCATTGATTTTTCTTTAACATTATATTTTGTTGATGGAATATTATGAGGATTTGTGAGAGTAAATAAGAAGGCTTGAGGATCTGGTTGCCAACTACATGTGGAACTCCATGATACCGTTGTAAATCCTCCAAATAAATATCCAACATCATCATTTGATTGAATAATGGTCATTGTTGCACCTTTACCATCACATAGACGATGAAAATCTTCAGCACAAAATCCATTTCGACTAGCTTTATATAATAATTCCCATTGTTGTTCATTCGCATTTCCTCCACCATAAAATTCATTTAATTTTAATTCTTGTTCATTTGATAATAGTGAACCACCATTAAAATATTTAATATAACTTGTTTGAACATGAATATAATCAGAATCAACTTGTAATGGTTTTGTTTCAATTTGAATAAAATTCTTTTGAAATTCGACTAAATCTTGTTCAACATGTTCCATTCGTCGTTTTAACACTTCATCTTGATGTTCAACTTGTGCTAAATGTTGTTTACGAATTTCTTTTTTTAAATCATTAATTAATTTTAATTGATCCGTTTTATATTTAGTAAAATTTTTATTAACAATTATTTCCATTTCTTGACGTTTCATTTCATATAGTTGATCTAAAACAGAAGTATGATTTCTGTGAAAACATAGCAATCGAGATACTAACATCTAACTTACCAATTAAACGATAACTTTCACACTTCCATTCGTCTAATTGAGATAGTGGATGTGCAATACAATCTGCTGAAGTAAGATGCGTAAATTTATCATGCAATTGTCGAATAGGTTCAGTCAATGGATGAAAATCTAAGTTGACTGTTGATTCAGAACGTGTACTTGTATGGTCGCTCTCATTACCATTTGTCTCCGATTTGTCTATTTTACATTTCTTTGACGAAAGCATTTTATCTGGAAAAAAAAATTACAGTTTATCAGAGAAAGAAAATGGCATATACTCGGTTTAATTATTGTAAAAATTTAAAATTATGGGTTAATTAACTACAAATTATTCTCATCCTACGTACACGCAAGTCTCATTAGTCAGTCATTCCATATTCTTTAATGAAACAAAGTAGTCTTCTTATTTGCTTTATTTTGAACATAATTTCTTCAAAGAGTTACAGATTATTTCATCATCCTCACAAATTTGTGTTTTGGATAGCTTTTGTTTCGAGATACATAAGATCTTTACACATAGAGAAAAAATGATAAAACTATCATTTAAAATATTCATTGTTAAGAATAATGGATGAACATAAGAATAATAACAGCAAAAGAAGAAAGCAATCTATTAAAAATAATAGAGAAAAATTTTGGTTGGACCATCGTTTAACACATATAGGCCATCAACTAGATATTTACAATAAACAGCAAAATAAAGAATAAACAAGTTCTATCAGCAGAAGACTTATACATGTATCAATAACATCACAGTGGAAAAGTGTCCCTGTATATGTAAAGAAAATGGAAAACACACAAAACGAAGATAACGAGTTCAATAAATGACCATAGAATACAGTGGATAAAGTCCTGTTACATCTCGCTGTTAAAATATAGAAAATTAAACGTCATACATGTCTGTTGACTAATCCATTCTGTCTTATAAAATAGAACGAAAACTTTTAAACTATCTATATATTCTGTGATTCTAAGCGGAGCCCATTTTCGCCAAAATTTGAGCGAACAGCGGTATAGTTGTAATAACGACAGGACCCCAACATATACAATCGTTTTTACGAAAACGTTTGAAAATGGCCAACTAATAACAACCTAAATAATGTTGATCACAAATAAATTTTGTTAATGGTTGATTAAACATAAAATTGATTAATCTAATCGAAGTAGCTAGTATTATCGTTTATTTATTGTTTCAAGTTTGACAATTGTCGAATGAAACTACAAACATAAAACTATGACTCTTCTTGTCTTTGTATTGAGTCGACATCACAACATACAGGAGATAAACAACAAATGGGTATTCGTTGAACAAAATCCGAATTCTAATATTTCAAATTATAAAGATCAGATAAAATGTAATCCAATACCAATTAATGTTGACTTTCGACCGTGTTAAACTACAAATTGTTGCAAGTGAGTACTTGAAACATTCAAATTTGATTTTGTAACATTTAGTAATTGTTTTAATTTTGATAAGTTCAACATCAACATTTTTAAGCTAACAGTGATCGTAAACTATCATATTCAAATTATCCTTTATACACGATTTCAATTTATTTTACAGTACGTGACTGAAACATATGGCAATAGCTGTTTACGTCCTCTTTAGACTTAAGTCTTGTAAAAAAACGACAAGGATACGCATAGTATACTTTCAATAGATTCATGTAGTCTTACGAGGGAACCCCACGAAGTGATTAAACGCTTTTTGCTCGGAATCTAGTGGGTTATAGGTTATCGACCATGCTGATTACGAATACGACCATGCGGCTTCCGCATAGTCCTTCG